TTTGCAAAAAAAAAAAAAAAAAAAAAAATAAAAATAAAACGTTTAGAGAAAATGTATTAAATATATAACATAATATAAGATAATATATATGTAAAATATAGTAAATATATAACATATATATAGGAAAAATAATAAGTGTATTACAAAGTAATATTAATAGCTTAAGCTTGATTAAATTGATATTTATATGTTTCATAAGTTTCAATTGATTTTTTAATAGATGCTATTTTTCTCCATAGTTAGTAAGTATACGTTTAAATAACGTTTAAAAATTATTCAACGAGGAATTTAAATCTCGGTTTACAAGGTGTTAGAAAATTCATTTATAAGAAAAAAAATCTCGCATTTACTTTCTTGCTCGATCACCACCACAAAAGGTTTTGCTTCTTCTAAAATATGTTTCATCCTGACCATAGGGAATTCTGTGTCCAAGGGTAAATATGCCATACCGGCCTTCAATATGGCAATCAGCACGGTCGGTAACTGATGCGAGGGTTTCATGCATACCGCTACAAATGATTTTGATGCACTTTCTGATTTCTCAAGTTTTTGAAAAACTCTGGCCAATTTATTGGTTATCTCGTTCAATTTTTCATAAGAAATTACATATTCCTGGTCATTGTCATCTGTGTTAAATTGAAAAAACGAAATAGAGTTATCAACAGAGTTAAAAGAAAGTACGGTAATTATTTAGAAAAGGAATTTTCTTACCGATTGTAAATTTTTAAATATATAAAAAACACGAATAGAAAAAAATGTAAGATTTTGAATGAATTTTTTCCATGCATATAATTACTACTTGAATTTTCCAAGATATTGAAAAAGATTTCTATTATTATTTAATTATTATATTTTAAAAAAGATTATTATTATTGTATATATTTATATGTTTCATAAATATCTTCATATTACGCTAATAAATGTTACGTAAATAATTAACATGTATCTAATAGAACCGATTAAAAAGCTATTTCCTCGTGTATTCTTAATAAGTTTGAAATATAACCGAATTTGAGCATTTCATGGATTTTTCGAATAATAAATAATGAAAATAAATAAAGCAATATTTAAATGAAGTTATAACATTTTATATATAATTTAAAGTTTTTTTTTTATATTTTATTTTTGCATTTCTTAATCTAAAGGATCTACGATAAGTATACTGATATTAGGTCCCCCATTATTTTGGATGCTAATTGTGATATATTTATAATAAATTGATAATATAAGTTAATATAATTTATAAGTTGGATACATTCTATGCAAAGTAGCAATTTTTTTTGTAAATATTTTTAAAATTATCGAGCAATTGTTATATATATAGGAAAAAATTATTCAAAATCTCGTTCACGATATTTAAAAATCGAAATAAGTAAAATATGCTCTTTTTTATAATTTTTATTATGGATATATATATGAAAATCAGTTTTTTAAAATTTTTTTAATTTTAATTTTTTTAATTTTTTTTTTAGAATAATTATAGTCTTTTTATTCTTTTAAATTATTATTAATATAATTTATAAAATCTAATCCTTTAAATCGTGTTTTCTTATGTTTAATCCATTAAGTTATTAAAATATTTTTTTTAATTTTGACAAATACAAAATCATTATTATAGTATAATTAAAAATTATCATATATTAAATTTTTCTGAAACTATTAACTTCTGAAACAATTAATTTTTTAATATCATGATATAAAAATTTTATAATGGTAATAAAATTATACTATACATAGAGTTAAGGTTTTATACCGAGTTAAGTTATTTATACCAAGAACTTGTAATACAGGAAATAATTTCAATTTCGATATTACTATGTAATATCATTTAATAGTAGAATGTTCTATGATATCTATAATTAGAATCTTGATTTCTGTTAAATTATTCGCATTTAAATATTATTACTTGTAAAAAACATTCATAAATTAACACGAAAGTAATCAATTTCTTTTATTTACACCTTACAGAACTCTTTTATCTATTTTTTTACATATGATTTTTTTTTCTTTTATGATCAATAATATGATTGATAAATACCTTTATAATAGATTGCCAGTTGATTGGGATAATTTACTGCTGTCTGAGTGAATAATTCATGAAGTAAATTTTTTTCTTTTCCATTATTAACTCTTTGTCGGCCTTTTAACACTGATTGTTGAAGTATGGTGCCCATCTGGAATTAATATTACTTTTAATGAAGCTATAAGTATCAAAATTTTTATACAATAAAATCTTTATACAATATGTCCCAAAAATATTGGAAAAAGTAGAAATTCCTAAGATAATTTCAAATAATATTTTCCTTTGCAAAAACATTCGTCACGGATTTATTAATGAATCATTAATAAAAAACATTGATCAATCACGAAAGTAAGTAAGTAAGTAGTCTAATCGAACCGCGATAGTAGCTGGTTATAGTACCATGAACACGAAAAAATTTGATATCAAAATAATATAAAATACTTGAATAATTTTATCAAGCATGAATTTATTTATATATGTAAATTGAAAATTTAATAATAAAATTTTAATTCATATTGAAAATGATTTTTTATCTAATTTTATTATTACAATAGATATAAATAGCATTTATTAATAATTTAATATACATATCTTCCATTAAAAGAAATGATTAATTCCAAGAATTCTCATGCAACTAAGAAGCATTTATCGCAAATATGATTCATCGATATGAGAATCTCAAATCAAAACGACAAACAAAGCACAACTAATCTATTCACGTAAATCCCAAGTGTTTTCTCAATTAATAAAAGATTGACGATTCCTATAGGGAAAATTAATCGAATAAAAAACTAGTAGTGAGAGTTAAAGTCTCTAATTAGGATGTAACAAATTTTCGAGGATATGCTTCTTAAAACTTCTAAAATGCTATTCTTAATTTTTTTTAAATGGAATTTTATACATTTTCCATTTGTTTTTATATTTATTTATAGAATAACCTACGAGTAATTCACTCATATTCAATTGGAATTTCTTGTATCTCTTTGAAAAATTTTCAAATTTAATTTATTAAAAAATAAAACTTCGAATGAAAAAATTTTATTCTTTCTTTTTTTATTTATTTTTACATATATCTTATCAATTGTACTATCAATTACATATATTATAAATATTTCGATTTATAAGTTTTCACAATAAAATTGGAAAAGATTCAACAATATTACAATATATCTTGAAAATTAAATAAATGTTCTGTATAAGATACTTTATTTAAAAAAAGCAAAAATTTATTTGAAATATTTTTTTGTATAATTAAAAAATTATCAAATTTCTTTAATTAACAAGGAGCTCATCAAATTTAAATAATAATAATAAATCAGATAATTTTTAGACTTAAAAATTTTTTCAAAACATTTTTTTCGCCATAGGAAATTATACAGAAAAGAACTATTATACTATTATATTTACAATTACAACTATTATATTTACAAGTGTATTGTGAGATAAATAAAAAACTGAAGCAAATAATGCCGGAACCATTCACTGATTTCATCACATTCAACAAAGAAAATTAATATGTAATAAGCTCTATCGCATTCGGTAGCGATGATTGATGTATAACCTTCGATGTAACAAGAAACAGAATATGTACAAGTATGTACTGACTTGTATACTTGTATATAATATACCTTGACATAATTGGATTTTGCGCGAAAGTCGATATCGGCCTTCGATTTGTCAATTTAACAAAATTCGATTTTGTTTTTCGATTATAACTCGAGATGAAAGGAAGTTGAGAGTGGGTGTTCATCTTTGACATTTTAATAGTGATGTTTCGACAAAAAATATATTTGATTAAATTATATTTAATTCAAATGTTACTATATAAATATTAGTATAGTTTGAATTTTCCCGCCAATTGATTATTTTTAAATATTCGATCATTTTATTAATTATACTTTTTGCTGATTTTTGTTAATAAATTGATATTTTTCGTTATCTTATATTTTTTTCTTTTTACTAATTTTTTCTACTCATAAGTAATGTTTTATTTTTAAAAAAATTTCTATTCATATATTTATTTTTTTTATTATTTTATGGTATGTATATATTTTTTTAACATTTAATGTTTCATTATGATAATTTATTCTATTAATATAATAGAATATAATATTCTATAATATAATATTATATTCTATTAATTAGAAAAGAGAACAATCAATTAAATTTAAATAATTCATTATATTATTATAATTTATTTAGATTATATTTATATATTCTAATTATATCTATTATATAATTATATATTCTAATTATATCTATTATATAATTATATATTCTAATTATATCTAATTATAATATTCATATGTTTAAATCGTAATATACATTTATATTAAAAAAATATAAAATATAAAAAAGTTAATAAATCTCTTTGTAAAAAAAAATCAATAAAATATGATGATACTTAATTTTCGGGAAAATTCAAAAATAAAAATAAAAAATCAAAATAAATCAATCAAAATTCGTGAATATTTCTTGAATCTTCAACTTTTGTCTAATAATTTCTTTTAATTATATTCTTATCAATGATAAGAATATATGATATAATATGACAACAATATATTATATCAATTATTAAATTTTAAAATCAAAAAATGCAATTCAAAATATTATCATTATTATAATATTTATTGCATGAATACTATAATATATAACATATATAATAATATTATATAATAGGTACATATAATATTATATATCATATATTACATATTAATAATGATAACAAATAAAATAAAATTTTAAAAAAATATGATATTGCATAAAGTTAAAATTATTTCATAAGTGAAGTTGAAATTTTCCCACATAGGTATAACAATGGTAATGTTTAGCAATTCTTGTGTTACAGAATGCAATTCTTTTCAATGTATTTCATACGGTTCTTTAATTTTTTATTGAAGTCTACGTGCTATTATTCTATTCGTTATCCTATATATCAGAAATATGAAAGAAAAAAAAAAAAAGAAAAAGAGTTCTATTGTTGAATCACAATTTTCTAATCGTGAACGTGATCGTTACAGTTTTATATTCATACCGACGATGCAGTAAAGAAACGCGTGAAACTCTTACACAACGGGTATACATTTTGTAACCATTAGAAAGAAATAAAAAATACACGTTCCACAGTATGAAAGTGTCTGCCCGTATATAATGCATATACACATCAATATGTAGAATAGAAATTCATTGTTTTAATGAAAAATATAAGTGTTTTTCAAAACAATTTTTTAGATTAATTTTAACGATTTTTAATAATCTATTTTGTTTCAATAATTTTTTATTAAATTATTGTTTATTGAAATTTTGTATATACCTTTTTATTAAATTAATAAATCTTTATTGTACAATAAAATATTGATTAATTAATTAAAATAATGGAGTTTTGAAGACAATTTTTATAAATTATAATAATATTAATTAATTTTTAAATATATTATTAAATTAATATTATTAAATTAATATTATATATTTATAAATTTAATATCTAAATATTTTTTTTATTCAAATATGATATTTTTTTTTTGATAATAATATCAATATTAATATCAAATATTAAATTTATAAATTAGAATTTTAATAATTCATTATTACTCGAATTGCGAATTCTACGAAATATCTTATTTATTTTTATTGTATGTATATTGAATGAATAAAAATTGATAGTGAATAGTAGATTCCAATTAATATAATTAAGATAATTCGAATATAATCCTCAACTGTTAATAATTTTTTTTAATGTATTCAATATTCGCTAAATCAGTGTTAATAAACATCGAATAATTGATTTAATTTAATTAATTAATATTTTACAATTAAATTAAAAAGAGATACTCATAATTAAAAAAAATTGTAAGATATATATATATATTGATCAATATTTAATCAATAATAATAATTAAAAATATTTTTTTCAATCATTAATTAATTATTATTATTTTTTAATCAAAAATTAATTAAATTTTCATCTATTCGATAAAAAGTATTTTACTTTATATTTATAAATTATATATTATAAATAAAAATTATATCATTTTATTCATTATATTATTCCATTCAATTTTCATCATTAACTTATTTAATCAACTTATTTTTTAAAAAAAGAATTTCTTAGAAGAAAAATAGAAAAAAATAGAAGTGCTTGAAATTAAATTCTAAGTAATATACGTATAAAAATCAAAAGATAAAAATAATAAAAAATATAAAGATAAAAGCGATAATATAGTATACAAATAAGATGCAGACATTAAATATAACTAATATTATGATATAACTATTAATAACTAACGTTAGAGTACTATAATTGATAAAACTGCTGATACTTTTAATCAAATTCCACGTCAAATAAAGAAAACATTAAATAATTTATATTAAATAAAAAAATTAAATAATCATTAACTGCGTCAAACATTTTTAAACATTGATTTATAAAATTTAATATATCTTATATCTTAAAACTTTAAAAATTAAAACTATCTTTAATTAAAATTAATTTTAATTATCCTTTTTTTTATTTCTCAAGATATATTGAATATTCTATTCTTCATCTTTTAGAATTATCAATCTAAATTTAGAATTTAGAATTTAATTTATTTTTTTTTAAATATATTATTTTCCTATTAATTTTTCCATATATTTTGAAATGTTATATATATAAAATTCTATAAATAAATATAAAGGATATAATATAAATCAGTCAATTTTTCGCTTACCTTAGAGGCGGTTTCTCTCGTTGCCCAATCTTTCGTCTACTTTCGATTTCTGTTTTTCGCGATCGAGAAATTTGATCAAATTATATGGTATAAACAAGAGCCAGTAGAATATTCGAAAGACCAATCGAATTTAGGAGATAATCGACTTTCACTCCGACATCCGTTCGATTTCTTACCTAAGAGTGCAAAATATGCGTATGCATATTATATTTACAACACATACAAGTTCTTCTCGATAGTTTCTTCACGTTTTCTCGAATGTTTCTTCACGTTTTCCTCTTATTTTCCTTTTTTCTATTCACACTTTTTCGTGGTTTAATCACGACACACTTTTTCCTATCCGTTTTTTTTATTCCTTCTTTTAGAGAATTTCTACTTTCTAGTAGAAATTTTCGTGATAATTTTTTTCTTGCTCTTGTTGATCTTCTTCTTATCTTTAATTACGAGGATAAATTTTTCTTCTTCTTTGATCACAATCACTTTTTTCTTTTTTTTTTTTTTATTCAAAATTATGTATCATAATTTTCCAGATATTATTTAAAACAAATAATATTGTTGAATTTATCCGATTTATTTTAAATTTTTATCGATTTTTGATTATGAATATAGTAAATATCGTTGAACAAAGTATAATCGATTATGCACTGATTGATAGTGGCAAAAAGTACAAACTAAGGGTATGCAACGTGATATTCGTAGGTCGTAACTCGATGACCTTAAGTCTCGGTCATCACCGTCCCGATTACTCGATGAGAATGTCTCCTCCTGTTGATGTAGCATGTGCTTTTATATAGAACCGGTTACGAGGACCCTGAATTGTTCGTTGTCCCCCATTCTGCCACCACCATCTCTCTGCATCTTTTGTACCGCTGTTTTCCGCTGCCTACCACTTGCTTCTGGTCCCTTCGACACTATCACATCGACATCCATGGTTGCCTCATTACTTCCTTGATGATATCCCATGACTAGCTCCGTTTTACTTGAACACTATAACAGAAATTGCTCAATTTTTGAATTTGTTAGTAAATTTATCAATAAAATAAAAATTAATAATATAAAATTGATAAAATATGATAAAATTCATATGTGCATATGTATGTATCTTAGATAGATATGATAGATATTAACAAATGCAAAGGTAACTATCTATCAATCTTGTGCTTGTACTCTGAAGTAAGATTATTTTAAATAATCAGGTAATGTATATAGATTTGATAATTGCTTGGAATAATTCATTAAAAATGATGTAAAAATATTATTTCAAGTAATATTATTTTACAAAATGTTTGATAAATAGTTAACTATAGAACTACTAAATTTTTTATACATTCCCAAAGGCAACCGATGAAGCTTAATTGGTCATTTCTGAAATGATTTTAAGCAATTTTTTTATTTGCAAAATTTTTTTTTTCTGCTTTATTAACAAATTATTAACAAAAAACATTGGCCAATCACGAAGCGTATACACTCGTCGCCATGATAGTAGTGTTGGTTACGTGTCGCTGATGAGTCACACATTGCTTTGACTATTTGTTCAAACTCGATGATTCGTTAGTAGTATATATCCATTGCTATTGATATTTTTTAAATTCATAGATTATTTAAAATTGTAATTATTTTAAAATGAATTTATTTATTTTGAAGATATTTTTCATATTTTTAAATAATAATAATAAAAATAATGATTTTGAAATAATAGCAAATTTATTATTTCTTGTTTCAATTTCAAATTAAATTTGCCATTCTAGTATTCAGTAACAAAATAATAAATATAGTGCCTCACAATTGAATAATAATCTAAAATACAATATGTTAATCCTTATTAATTTTATCAATAATAATTATATTATTAATAATAATAATAGTAATAATAGTTAAACAATTCTAACTAAATAATACAAACTTTTAATATGATATGGTACACAAGTTTTTTGTTGCATGATCATTTTTTTTTGTGCATCAATTTATATTTTTATTTTTCTCCTTTCTTGTTGTTAAATTTTTAAATAACGATATAAATAGAAAGTTTAAATAAGTATTAAGTAATGTTAGAAAATAAAATTAATTATTCGGTTAGTTGTGCTTCTTAATAATGACATAATGCTTCGTTTATCAATAGATAAATTTTATTATGGTGCTCAGAGTTTTAATTAATATTTATATAATTAAAATTGCATTTATTAAAAATGCATTCAAAAATTAAAAATTGATTGAAACTTAATTCAGAATTATTTAAAATCGACTATTTTTCTCAAAATTAATCAAAATTAATTCAAATTAATTCACATTTTCAATGTTTGGTGCAAAATTATTCATTATTGAATCACAATTTAAACAACACTTAAAGATTCAAATTTTATTTAAATTTAATCAATTTTGTATATATTTAATAACTTTTAAATTATTCTTTTAACAATATTGCATTGAATAATTCAAAATTAATTAACCTAATATCTATCTAAAATTGTTTAAAATGTTTCTTGGAATTATTCAAAATTTTTCAGAATAAATCACAAATATAAAAATCAAATAAAAATTAATCAAATTATTAAATTGTCAATTATAAAATCATTTGAATTTATTACTATTTATGTAAATATTAATTATAATATTAATTATTCATCTATTATTTATAAATTATTTATAAAGTGGTATTAAATTAATAATTTAATTGGCAATGAAAATGTATCGAATCGATACATTCTATCGCAAGATTTTTAATAAATAGTAAAGTATTGAACAATTCTAAAGATTAATCTTAATTATTTTTACATGATTATAGAATATATACAATCTCAAACTAATAGATCGTAAAATTATCTTATTTTTTTTTACTAGATATCAACTATACTACCAATTTGTCGAACAATGATGGATATTAATTTTGTTATGGTGAATCTTTAACTTTACTAGATCTCCAAAGAAAACTTATTTATTAAATATCATTTGTTGCATAAGCTCAAGGCAAAATAATATCGACGCATATTGTTGCTAATATGCTTTTAACCATTATAGTGATTCATTGTTTCATTATTCAAGAGATTTGCTACTTTTTCAATGTAATTCTTCTTTCCCCTTCGTAATGATTCATATAAAGATAATGCAACTTAACTTTTTTATTGCTGTTTTTTTTATCCACCTTGATAATTTTGTACTATAAATCTTGAATCTTGTATTATGTTTTTTTTTTAATCATCGTATAATATAATTTGAAAGGAATTCTACAAATCTAATTTTAATCCATTTATCCGCTTGGCAAAAGAATTATTCAGTAACAAAAAATATTTCAAATACAGTTTCAAATAACAATTTATTATTACTCTTCATTAATGATTCTTTCCTTGATTCTTATAGGAATTTAAAACTATTAGTGATTATTTTGATATTTCTTTTTGTATGGAATAAAAATTTCAAAAATCGCCTAATTGAAAATATGATAAATCATGTTACAAGTTTCAAGATCTTGGTGGTAATCTTTTTTTTTTTTTCATTTTTTTTATTTGGTTTTCAACATTTCATAAAACTTCAATGATGTATCATCTCATCTATTTGTATTATTACTTTTGGTATTTTCTTTATATAAATATCTGTAATATATATATATATAAGTATAAGTTATATAATCTAATAATATTGAAAATTTATCATCTTTTATCAAGAAGTTTACATATTTTAGAAAATTTTATTTTAATGAAAATTTTGTGTACAGTATAATATATAATAATGAGCAATTTATTTTTTGATAAAAAATCTCCTTAAATATATGAAATAAATATAAAACCCATTATGATTTATATATTCTTAATGTTTCATATAAAATAGAATTATTATTAATTTTAATAATATACATTATTAGTTGAATTTGCATAAGATATATGAATAATTTTGCAATTGTACATATTTCATTTATTATATTAAAAAAAAAATAGTTGATACAAATTGTAAATCAGTAATTGTCCATAGAATAACTATTGATTACTATTGATTAGATTTTTTCTTACAGATAGAATTGTGAGATATAAGATATCTTCTATATAAGATATTTTTATCATTCATCAATGACATATATCTTTATAAAAAAATTAGTATAATGTAAAAATTAGTATATCTTTTTGAAAAAAGTATTAATATCAATAATGATTTATATATAGTATCGTTATATATATATTATATTAGATAATGCATTCATTGGAAAAGCTTTTATTTCTGTTGCTATGAATTATCACATGCTTCTTATTTTTTCTTTATATTTTTATATTTTTTATTTTTTTACATTATTTATTTTTCGCTTTAAATGAAATCAAGCAACAGAAACATAAAAAAATATTTAACGATTTTTTTAAAAAACATGAAATATTGATAAAATATTTAATTTGTTTCAGTGAAAATGCAGCTTTAAATTACTTACGCATTTCTTCGAATTGAATTTCGAGCTTTGAAGAAGACAAAAAAAAATCGATGATATTTTAACTTCACACTTCTATCCACGTTATTTGTATAATAATTCAATTAGAAACATTAATATTTCAATTTAACATATTTACATATACAATAATATAACAATTTTACATATACAAAACTGTAAGAAAAATTTACAAAATAATTATATTATATTAATTTTATCATATTAATTTTATTTTATCGTTGTTCTAATTTTTTATAATCAATAAAAAAGATTGAAGATTGTAGTAGTAGATTTAGTAGAAGAGAAATATCAAATGTCAATTTACAAATGATATTTGCAAGTTCAAAGTTAAAATTCTTTATTTTTTCAGTATATCACTTTTCTTATTTTACATTTGATTTATCAATCTCATTATTTTTTTTTATAAAATATGAATATTCATATTTTAAATAAATCACTATAATTTCATTTTTTTCTCAAAATTCTTTGTATTTTATTATAATAAAAAAGATTATGATCATGTATATAATTAAAATTCCAAAAGTAGTTATCAAAATGATAAAAAGAAGGCCGATTTCTTATAAAACGTGAAAAGGACTGAAATCAATGAATTTTTCTTATGAATACTTAAAATTTAAGATCAGTTTTTATGTGTTGATTGAATTTAACTTCAGTTTTAAATTCATTAGAATAATTATTACATATTAAAACAAATTGTGAGATTGATTCTCAATATCACGATCATTCTAACCTCTTTAAGCATTATAAATATTATATTATACTATATAATACAATGAATTAAAAGTCTCAATTGCAAAAATTTTTATTACCTTGAAAATTTTTGAATATCTTGATAAATTCAAAATTTTTGAATTTCTTTCAGTTTTATTAACCACTTATTACTTTTTCCATTATTGCATACACATGCAAGTAAGAGATAATGTTGCTAAAAATGAAATGTAAATAAGTCAGAATAATTTTCAAAAGTTTCATAGCTATCAAGATGATCAGGATTTTTAAAAATTTTTAGATTTCGAATCAAATTCGAAGTGATTCAAATGTTCTGCTACTTTAGTGATTCGAAATATTTCAAATTCCGTTATTAATCGTAATAAATGAGCGAACAAATTATAACCTCGTCTCGGTTCGTTTTCACTAATCTTCTTTTCAAATCTGCACATTAAAGTTAATCGCAATTTTTCTTAAGAATATTCTATTGTTATTCTCAAGAATTTTCGTTTTTCTATTGTTAAACCGAAACAAAAAGGATTGCATCACTCGTTTTATGAACGAATTCCAATCGATTATTCGATGCGATTATTGTGATTATCATTTTCAGTACGATAAAAACGGTAA